GTAATCGTGCTCGTGAGCTCACGTGCTCACGTGCTCACGAGCACGTAAGCACGTGCTTACGTGCTCGTGTAGAGCAGGAAAAAAAAGATAAAAAGAAAAAAAGAAAAAAATGTTTGCGCAGTCAACAGGATTCGAAACTGTGCGGGGAGACCCCAATGGATTTCTAGACCATCGCTTAACCACTCGGCCACGAGTGCGGGACGAGTATGGGGCTCTGAGATATGGTAGTAACTCAAGAGCTGGGAATGTCATGAATGAAACATTGCATGTAGCCGCTCAACGTCTAAACAGGAGAGGGCGCTGTGGTCAAATGCGTATATAATCGCGTTAAACTTTGCATGCATTGGCTCAACGTTTATAGACGAGAGGGCGCTGCGGTCAAATGCTCAAATTTGTATATAACCATGTTCCATACCACACCTTCTCTTTCTTACATGGATGAAAACGAACGAAAGGCTCGGCATGCTGCGGCTCAGCGTCTACGCAGACAAGCACCACCAAAGCTTCGCCCCAATCAACATCATTCACCACGTGGAGATATGGTCATTTTTTTTTTCGTGTGTTTTATTGCGAATTAAGTATATTGAGGTTTTTAAGAAGGCATTGTACTATTTTTAGAAGCAAAAACAAACAAATAAAACCTATTTTTGGTAAGTCCCTGCGCGACAGAACAAATGCAACTAAAATGTTTATTTCATTTTATGTTGATATTTTTTTACATCAGCATACGCTCAGCCGTGTGAATCTACAAAAATCTTTACTGTCGAAAATATTTGACCACACAGGATAGCCGAACTGTATTCCCCGTTCACAACATGATATTCAACGAGTCTCATCAATCGAACAACATATATTATACGTACCGCACGGTGCCACGTTATCCGAACAGGATTTGAAGGTCTCAGATGCACAGCATAACCTTACGCTGTCGACGATATTCACTTCACGACGATCGGACGGAATCCGGCCTGTTTTAGGACACGTTTGGAAGTTTGCTGCTTTTTCGCACTGCGCCAAAGCAAATGAACTGTCTACTCCGTCCCCGACCCGACCCTATCAGCAATTTCTAGTGAAGACCAAGGGCACAAGCAGGAGGGCTTTGCGGAAATTATCTCAACGGAAAAAAATCCTCGAAAAAGGTCGAACAGCCCGGCCCGTGTCGCGGGTGGTTTCACGTTCCCTCTCTTCGTTTGTTTTCTTGCAAAGGCCGAGCAGGCTACGATACCTGGGATTCCCTGGCTCTCACAGTAAAAGACAACGCAAAAGGGGTAAGCATCCTGAACAGGCAAATAAAGTAAAAACGTTCAAGAAAAGCCGATGAACTTTGAATGCACAATGCAAGTGGGGAGTCGCGCTGACAGGGTTTCCACAGCTTAGGCGGGTGGCAGAAATTTCTGTTTGACAGGGGTCGTTCGATTCGCGAAATAGCGGCGGCCAGAGAGCTCTTTTTGCAAAGGTCTGTACAAAGGCGGAGAGTGCGGGCGCAGCTTGTGCGACTTATTTAATCGGAGCAGTTGGCCGATAACTCATTGTGGGCGGGGTGTCGACGAGAACCGAACAGCCTCAGACTCAGAGCCGTCGGCACTCCAGGCGCTTCCTACCAGTGAAATGCCTGGAGGTTACTAGCACTAAACCAAGAACGTTTCACGTAGCAACACAATTGCAGGGCAATTCGAGATACTTTTTATATTTCACGCTTTTTGTATTACACTCTAAGAAATGCCTCCGCGTCTACTTACACTCAAAACACTCAAAGAGACAATCATTGCGATCTACGAAATCAGCTCAGCGAATAGTGAGGCGGAACATCTGTTTAGACCTTAAAATTAAGTCTGCGCTGTGGCATCACGCAATGCAAGCATGACGCTTTGAATTGCGCAGTGCAACAGCGCAGACTTGTTTTTAGGTCTAAACGAATGATCCGCCTCTTCATTCGCTGAGCTGATTTTGTAGATCGCAATGATTGGCTCTTTGAGTGTTTTGCGGGTAAGTACACGCGTAGGGATTTCTTAGAGTGTACGTACGCTTGTTTTCGATTGCTCGTGGTCTGTGCTAGACATTAGGACCCTTCCATTATTTTTCTTACTTTTTATTTTTGGATTTGGGTCAACCGTTCAAACTACGAGCTGTGGGTAATAAAGTGCACTTAATAATCGTCTTTTTTATAATGCCCACTCAATCTACGCTCCCAAAGCGTCATGTAAAATTAAAAATTAAAATTATGCGCGGATTTTTTCGCTTTCAAAAACATGCCCTAATACAGCTACACGCCCTTTCTTTTAGACAAATCTAAAAAAGGTCGCGGAGTTTGGTCGCGTTTTTAAGGATAAAAACGGCAACGCGTGTTTGTAATTTTTGGTCTCGTGTTATACCGTATATTTGTTCGAGTAATAGCCGCGCTGTTTATGAACATAGCCTGTGGGTCTGCTTGCCCGCAGAGCAAGAGGGCAATCAATCACTACAAACGGCAAAAGAAAGGGCAGCGATTTACGGGACAGATATAACGTCTTTACGCGTACATGCTGTCTGCTCAGATAGCATTTTTACGATGAATCGTAATCTCGACTTTATAACTCGCTTCGCGTTTATGCATAGCGTGATTATTGGCTGTACCTGTGTTCTGCAGAAAAGTAGACGCAAGGGACTTGTTCATAAGAAGCGCGACTATTAGTTGAGCAACCACGGTACTTAGGGAGGATAGATAAAATTTGCGCCATAAAAGAAATATTAAAATCCAATTTAGTGCGACTTTAAACATCTACTCTCTTTCTCTGTTTTTTTTTTAATTTTGTATATGTGAAAAGAGTAAAATTTTTTAGCAGTCTTCCCCTTCGCTCCACACGCCCAAACTAAAAAAAAAAAATCTTCCAAGTCCACTTTCCTGAAGAATATGAGGGCAGCCCATAAATGCAAACAAAATGATTGCAGCGAAGTACCAAGCTCAGAACACGATTTGACTCGAAAAATGCGATACGTGCGAGGCCAGTGAGGTAGAGTGACGTCATGATCATTATCCCTGCTCACGTAGCATTTTTTTTTTTTAAATAATCGTATTCCGAGCTTTGTCGCTGGTTTTGATCCTTCTGCTGTTCATCGTGATTGGCTGGCTTCATGATACGAAAAAAAAAAAGTAAACTACCAGACTTTTTTTTATTTCAATGAAACTGCACTTCATAGGCACGCTGTCTCATTTCGTTTCGCTGTCAGCCGTATTTTAAGGCAGGTCCACTACTCTACATAAGGATGCAAGCATAATAAGGGTTAAAATGATAACTTTATCTCAATTGTTTTCTTTTTGCAGCACAAAACAAAACAACAAAAAAACTAGCACGAAAAGAAAAAAAACGTATAAAAGGTATTGCACGTTGTCCCGTTTCCTTTTTGCAAGCGATAGTTGCACAAGTCACGCTGAACGTTTTACTCTTCACCCATGCCATCCAAAACAAGACATGTCTCAAACGTAAAAAGATTGCACTAGAAAAAATAAGTATATCACATCGTCCGTCCTCACAAAAAACAGCACTCAAAGAAAAAACATTTTTTTTTACATACAGCGTGTAGTACGGCTAGTCTTAAAATGCAAACCAAAACGATAGTTATGCTTTAGCTTTGTCTATACAGTGCCGCGACCGCGCTGTTTAGAAAAGTAGTGCGACGTCGGCGCCATTAATATCACGTAAACAAAGCAAATAAGGAGAATCTATATTGCACAGCACTGAGAAACGTGCGCAAATGTACACACTCGCGGGCACCCACTCCTACAAATTAAGAAGTATTTCTTTCGAGATCACGTGTGCAAAACTAATCAGATTCGAACATTTGCTGATATTTCGAGCATTATAACGAGGTGTCTGCATCTATGTTAGGTCCAGAACTCTGACCATTACAGCAACTCGTAAAAGGTTAATTTTCACGTCGGTTTGACCTAGTGACATTTAAGGGCGGAGCTCCGTACATCTCAAGAATGACAAACAGATCCGGAGCACTTGAACACCAGACGTAGACAGGCGAGTTGGATCGAGGGCTTGGTGAGCAACACACGTGTCACGGCAGGTCTGAGCAATCGAATTTTCTTTCTTGCTTCCGACCTTATTCTGACCGATGTTTTGTTTGTAAATTCTGAATAAGAGTTAGATTATACTCACATTTTTTATATATAACTGATTGCCGTGCTGGGCATTTTTCAATCGAGACATGTGACGCCACGGCTCTGATATGACACCAAATCTGACTGTCTACCCGATTCGGCCATTCTCGTCAATGTACGGCATTCCAATTTTCGAGAATTTTATTATCTTGTAGATTAACGAAGCTACTTCTTGAAATGTCACAGTGTATACCTGATTACAAAAAAAAAAAAAAAGTTTAATAAAACGGTTAACAATTGCGCGTTCAGTTGCCAGTTTTCGCGGCCATTTTTGACGGCAATAGATGGTTCATAATATTCTATATAGTCTGGAGTGGAGCAACTCGGCACCTGAAAGACGTGCCGTAGTTTGTCATCTACCTAGTCCGCCTGTGACTACTTCACTTTTTACGGTCTACGGGTCAATATTACTTTATAAATTCTGAATTTCTTTTTTCTATTGGAATGATAACGACTCCTCGGCAGTAAGTTGTTAGTTGATTCTCATGCTTCGCTATTGCAGTTGAAACACTTCTCTGACAGTCCAACGTGAACCGTTAGCTTTTGTGAGATCAATGGCAGCCATCTCTCCTTCGCAAGAACCCCGCGCGATCGCCTTACACATCCAGCTTTTTACACTAACTGCTCCCGTCTCGGAGGATCCACCACTTCCAACCCAGACGGCAAGAAGACCAACTGTTCTTCGTCCGAAGTCAATCATCACTCACTGTCGCAATCTCACGCACAAACAGTCTCACAAGTCCTCACGAATATCACCGCAGTGCGTAAGGTCCATCGAGGACTGGTCTCGCTCCAGTGTTCAGCCTTGCATAAGACGTGTCCGGTCGTGAAAAGCAAACAGACGACCGTCGCACTACTTGTTGTCCTCGGCGGAACTGTCCTCGTCGTCCCTGTGGTTCGGCGATGAGCCCGGGCTCACGTCTCGGCACAGCTGGCCGAGGGGACCCGAGTCCGCGCAGGGCCCCGACGTGGGTCCCGGGGGAGCAGCGAAGAAGCCCGGAGGACCCAGGAAAGGTCCGAAGGCGTGACTCGGGCTCAGGTAGTGAGGTGACCACAGACCCTGGCGTTGGGCGAGCTTCATTCGCGCTGTCATCTGCTTCTTCCACTTTGTCCTGCAATTCGAAGATGTTTGCAAAAACACTCTGGGTCGAGTTTTCTGATATCTGCGTCGCCCCCAAATGTGATAAGTGGGCTTGAATGCAGGTTTGTGTTCGATGTGATTTTCTCTCAAGTGTGACTGCGTGTCTACTTTACCGTAAATCATGTAAAAGGTAATTTACTTGGCCAGGAAAGTATCCCGGAAAGCAAATGAGTACAAAAACAAAACGTGACGCAAAGAGCACAAAGCAGAAGCAGAACTGCTTGTTTGTGTGTCACCTTATAAATTTTCGCGTACGTTTTTTTTTTTTTTTTTTTTTTTTTTTTTTAGCTTGGAAAACATATTTTGTTTAAACAAGGTTTATTTTGGGTTTTCATATCTTGCTTGGGGATACAAACTCATAAAGAAAGATAGAAAAAAAAAGGAACTTCGTTTCCTAGTTTGAACGGCATATATTCCACGCACAATAAACAACAAACAAAGATGTCTTTCTTGCAGACGTCTTTCTAAGGAACAACTACAAAGACTGAGATGTACGGTTGTGCTGAATCTTCCGTGAATTACGCATCATTTATAGCACTATCTTGAGGCCTCGGATCTCAAAATGAAAAAGTGAACTGCAGTAACGATAAAGAACGAAATCCCTTGAAGCGAAAAGCGGTCAGAGAGTTTACAAAAGCCAACGCACCAGTAAGAGGTGGATGTCTCTTGTCATAGCGGGGTACATATGTTGCGAGTAATACCGCCTTTTGTTTGTTTTATGAGAACAAAATATATTGTGTAAATTATTTGTGGGATACAAGAGCTTTACAGTTATAAGCTACAACTTTCCTGACCAATGAGAAGCACTGAAAGAAATTTGAACAGCAACAGAGGCTTTATTAGACACAAAACCTTGGAACAGAAGCCTCTATTCTTCAAATTTGAAAACACATTTCTCATATTTGAAGGAGGAAATTTTATATTCAAGTTGGCTGTGTTTAATAAGCTAAGTCTCTGTTGCTATTCAAATTTCTCTCAGTGTTGATATTTTCCTTCATTAAATATATATTTAGATACATTCAATCAGCCGCATTAACGAGACTTGGACGTCCGACAATGAGCTATTATATATGCGTCTGGTTCCACAATGGCAGTATTAATGGTAAATGTCAAGTTGGGTTTAAACGTCTGCCAACGGTTAAGCTATGAGTTCTGTCAAATCAAATATTTTTGTCTTTTCCCGATATGGCGAGACTTCAGGATGCAAAGCACAGCGTGTGAACTCACCGCCTATTTTGGAACCACGTCTTGATTTGAACTTCCGTCAGGTTCAGGGTAGCCGAGAGCTCCATCCGCTTGCTGACGCTGAGGTACTTGTCAACCTGCGGGGTTTAAAAGCAACAACGATGGAACGGCGCTAATTTAACGCGGAATATATTTTCGTGACGGTAACTCGGTGAAAAAACGTAAGGCCAAAAAGCTAAAGACTATAAAACGAGAAGCGACGCGATCGAGAGGTGATCACATGACCATAGTGACAGCCAATGGCGTTCAGGCTTGAACGGTATATATTCTTCTAAGCGTACACTCTAAGAAATGCCTGCGCGTCTATTTACCCGCAAAACATTCAAAGAGCCAATCTCCGCGATCTAGAAAAATCAGCTCAGCGATCGATGCGGCGGAACATCTATTTCGACTTAAAAATGAAGTCTGCGCTGTGGCATTACGCAATGCTTGCATTGAGTAATACCACAGTGCAGACTTCATCTTTGTGTCTAAACGTATGTTCCGCCTCATCAATCGCTGAGCTGATTTCGTAGATCACAGAGATTGGCTCCTCGAGTGTTTTGCCGGTAAGTAGAAGCGCAGACATTTTTTAGAGTGTAGAGAAAACTGTTAACAATAAGTCGCCTTCTCTCCCTCACTGTCGTGGCAAAACACAGAATGGAATGCAGCGCCGAAACGTACTACTCCGTTTTACTTTGCAAGTTCCACAGGAACTGGGCTGCGATCCGACGGAGCCAATCAATTAGCGCCAAAAGGGGAACGTCACGGAGCTCATCGCTTTTGTGCGTTTGCTTTATCCGGCTGAACCAATCAGTAAATGCTCCATGACCCTGCATTTTTGTTTTGTGCATGAATGGCTTGGGGCAAAAAAGGCACAAAGGCGACGATCGCCGTGACGACGCACTGGACGTGACGGACGTGACGTGACGTGACGATGGGTCACCGGAACGGTTGCGCTGAGCTGTAGCTCCGATGTCAACTGCCCAACCAAGAGCGCATGGAAGAAGTGGAGAAAGAAAGGCGAAGCCGCCGATAGTGAAAAGGTAGAGCGGCAGACAAGAGGCATGTAACGGGCGCCCCGCTGCGGCGAGACGCCGAAACACACTTGTCCCGAACGATGGAATGTCCGCTCGTGCTTCTCGCGTTCCTCGGGCTATGGCTTCCTTTCTAGTCGGGTTTGAAAACCATGTTTCGGGTCCGCGCCGCTGCCAAAGCTGTGCGTTGACTACAGGCTCCCCGAGGAACGGTCTGTGCTACCAGATCCTCGCTTTCCAAATCTGCGACCGGGCACGGCGCTCCGTAGGGCGTGCACCTAACGAGCCTAGGCGGGAACAATCGGAAGCCAGGTTTTCGGGCAGTGTCCGGCTGGGATTTGTGTCCAGCACGTCGACATATGAGCGCTGCTTCGTCGTTCGGATGACATTCGACCGTGTTCAAATATCGAGGGTACGACTCGTGCGAGTTACAGCCGATCGCTGGCGCAGTACTCGTCGGACAGTCTTGCGTCCCTTGAGTGCGAAACCGGAAGCGGTAATGGGCTACTTAATTTTGTAATCGTCCGAATAAATTTATAAGGGAGCATTCGCGAGAAAAATCTGATTATTTTTGGATGTACTAAAATTACTTTTAACCTTCACTATTTTTCACTCCCCCTTCTTTTCTTTTCTTTTTTCAGCCGTTTTGTTGTTACGAGTTTCCTTCTAAGGAATCCTAGGAGCAAGCCTCAGACAAAGGAGCATTTGTCAAAATTGGCAAATTAAGAAGATAAGTAGTTTATAATTTAGGGATGCTAATCCAATAATAGACAATAAAAAAATCATTTCAACCCGGTAGAAAAATCTGCCGTTTTAAAATTTGAAGTAATCGGTAATTTAACGGTTACTTTTTCAAGTAATCACGAATAACTTTTCCTCTCACCTAATCGAGGAATATAGTTTAATAGCTTTTGACCAAGAATAGTGGTAACTGTAATCGACTGTTTTTTTTTTTTTTTTTCGTGTAACCTGTACAAGATTACCAGTCATGTAACGCATGCTGCGCTAAAAAAGGAGGACTGTGGTTGTCAGTATTTGAACGGTTAAAATTCCACCGCTGCCTCCCGTTGTTGAGTGATTTACTGCGGGAATGTTTTAGCTAGCGCCGGATATTTCATCAAGAAATCGGGACACCAGACTGAATACCAACAATAAACTGAAACTCATATTAATTATTAAGAAATAATTCCAGATGAAACATCACGAATCTGTTAACGATGCCTGTCATCTTCAACATTTATTATTATTTCGTTTCGAAAGCTACCAAAACAAACCGAGTCTAACGGGATTTCTATAGTCACGCTAGCGTTATTAAAAGCACTCGGAAAGATGCAGTCATCGAGAGTGACATCGCCTCGTGGGAGGTTCTACGAATTTTCAGACTAACAGCAGTGATCCGAAAATTTGCTAAATGTTGAGTGCTGCTTCATTTCATTTTTATATGCATTAACATTATTCGTCAGACATAAACTGAAATACTTTTATTTCGCAAAAGTTTTATTTTCGCGAACAAAAAAAAAAAAACAAGAAGAAAGAGCCGGTTGTTATTTAGAATGAAAAAATATTACCAACGTTAACAACACACGGATTTCCATGATTATGCACTGTTTCACTTAGAGTATTAAGTCGAAGCCACTACCCTAAGCGAGCACAAGTTCGTCTGCTTCTTTCGCAGGGGTTCTAGTGACGTCAGAACGCCGGACTCTCATTGACTCTGATTGAAGAACAGTGGGTAGACCTCGAGGCAGCTTCCTTTGAGGTCTGCCCACTATTCTTCAATCAGAGCCAATCGGAGCTCGGCGTTCTGTCGTCACCATAACCCCTGCAAAACAAAGTAGACGAACTTGCGCTCCGCATATAGAGTCAATTAGGTGGCACCAAAAACGCTGTGTCAAGGTGCTCGTTGTCTTTGTGGGTTCGCACTCACCGGCTAAAGCAATCACACAGAAAAATAATTTAAAAAAAAAACGTGCAGGATCGCAACGCATTCGCTATGCATGATGCATAGCGAATGCGTCGCGATCCTGCACGCTATGCATGATGCATTCGCTATGCATGATGCACCGCAACTTACGGAGGCAGGTCAGAGAATGACGATGCGAAAACATATGTTTAGACCGAAAAACGCAGTCTGAGTTGTGACATTAAGCAATGCAAGCGTGACGTTTTGCATTGCTTAATGTCACAACTCAGACCGCGTTTTTTGGTCTAAACATATGTTTTGGCATCGTCATTCGCTGATCTGCCTCTGTAAGTTGCGGTGATTGGCTCTCCGAGTGTTGTGCGGGAAAGCAGACGCACGGGTTTTTTTTAGAGTGCTATAAGCTTGCGATTGCTGCCTCGATGGTTCTACACTCTAAGAAATGCCTGCGCGTCTACTTACCCGCAAAACACTCAAAAAGTCAATCATTGCGATCTAGGAAATCAGCTCAGCGAATGATGAGGCGGAGCATCCGTTTAGACCTAGAAATAAAGTCTGCGCTGCGGTATTACGCAATGCAAAGCGTCATGCTTGCATTGCGTAATACCACAGCGCAGATGTTCCTCCTCATCATTCGCTGAGCTGATATCCTAGATCGCAATGATCGGCTCTTTGAGTGTTTTGCGGGTAAGTAGACGCGCAGGCATTTCTTAAAGAGTAGGGTTCCTGTACAGGGTCATTACGCGAGCCAGAGTTGCGCGTCTGTTTTGAGCGCTGCACCGCTATTCTCCGAGATCGGTCTCGGGTGGAGCAAAGAATTCCTCGCCGTGCAGGAAAGTAGACGTTGCACGCACCCCGGCGTATGTTTCCCTGCTTTGGCCTCCTTCTCCTTCTTTTCTGTTTTCCACGCGCGGCGGCGCACGCAGCGCCGCTATTCGCCGAACTGAGTCACGTAAAGGCTGGTTCAGACATGTACAACGAGCGCGATGCGTCCGTTGCAACCGAAGCGACCGGAACGACCGCTCTGAGCCGCGCGTACACACACCTGCAACCGCTGCAACAAGCGCAGCGGGTCGGCAGCACGGCGACCGCCTCTCCGTTGCCGTCCGCTGTTTCAGCGGTGCCTCCAAAAAGAAGGGGACGCGCTGCCACTCACTTGCGTAACAGAAAATAGACAGACCGTCTTCTATGACCTCAAGCTTTATTACTCTTTTCAGGATAAGCTTGCAGGGTAGTGCATTAAAAAAAAAAAAAAGAAAGATGTAGTACGCCGTCTTGCACGATCACGACTTTAATACACGACTTTGCCAACAGTACAAATCTCGCCACACGCCTTTTCTACGATTATAATAGACGATGTAATCTTAGCAACGATATAGCAACGTAGAAATATAATTTGACAGACGATGCGAGCGTTCAGGATTGCTAACACTAATCACCTTTTTCGGGCGATGAAAACAAGTAAAAAATTCGCATCCTTTATACGGTACGCACCAGTAATACCTTGAACTTGGGCACACGCAAGGAATGCGCCAAATCAGAAATCCGGGCGATGTTCGAGGACACAAATGCTTAGAAAGCACCACTGTAGTCGAAGTAAACAAACACGACGGCACGGGCGTTTCTGCTGTCTTGAGAGTACAACCACGACATCGCCGCACGAGTAGGTGGATCTTCCCTTCTAATACGTGCTGGGTTATCATAGCGACGTACGACGAAAATTCACAGTCAAGGCTAGCGCTTTTACGCGGAACGATGAACTTTCACCCCGACGTCGACGATCACCACCGACGCCATGTTTGCAGACAAAAGGAGTCGGCCCGCGACCGGCAGACCGGCATGCAACGCGCTTGACCCATTCTCCTCGACCTGTGATTGGTCTGTCGTTGCGGTCGCTTCGGTCGTTTCCAACGCATCGGGGAAAGTTGGGCTCGCTCCAACTCCTTGCGTCGTGAACGACACGTGCGTGCGTCCCTCCGTCGCTATGGCAACTGACGGTTGCAGACCGTTGCAACGGTCGTTTCGGTTGTTCCGGTCGTTCCGGTCGCTACGGACGCATGTGTGTGAACGGGCCTTAACGAGCACAAAATACCTGGCCACGCAGGAAAGCCGGCTCTAGGGCCACCCGTAGAGGATGAACGCGCAACTCTGGCTCCTGTACGGAGCCTAGACAGGAACTCTAGGTGGTTCAATGGCACAGCGCCGGCCTACGGATCCCCAGTTTGTGGGTCCGAATCCCGGTCGAGGTGTCCACAGTCTGGCGACCAAGATTTCGGTCGCAAGTCAAACGATTCACAAATGATCACACTTAATCCACCGTTTTTCGCAATGTTGACGGCACACTACTTGCAATAGTGAGCGCGGCGCTACTATACTTTGTGTCAGCTTCCGTCCGAGCGCGGCAGATGTTACGAGCGAAAGGGCCAATCAATTAGCGTAAAGAGCGCAACGTCATGGCGCGCGCTCTGCGCTTGATAGGACTAGCCGGCGAAGGAGCACGCACAGAGAGCACGCTGGTCCTATCAACTGCAGAGAGCACGCCATGACGTTGTGCCTCTTTCGCTGTTTGATGGGCCCTTCGGCTCATAACACCGGCCGCGCTCGGACCGAAGCTGAAACGAGGTATAGGCAGCTTCTAATTTAATCGTGGGGCTAAATCGAAATGCAATTGAGTTGAATGGGAATGCACATAGCACCCGTCCTCATTGTATGCTCGCTTCTATAGCCTAGCAGTCGCCGAACCGGAGCTCACCTTGAACTCTGCCTCGAGCCTCTCGAGCTGCTTGACGCTGTATGCCTGCCGCGGCTTGCGCTCCACGCCGGGCTTGCGGGGTCTCCGACCAGAGGGCTTCGGGGCTGCAATGCCACACATCTCTGTAGCGGCCGGCGGAGGAGAGGGAAGAGAGGACAGTCAACATCTGGCGCACTTGTCCCCAGGGCCGGTTCCCCGGTGTATGCGGGTGTCTACTCGGTGGTTAAATTAGCTGCGAGAGGGATTTTGAGGTGACGTGACCGGCTGCATGGCGTGGGGCCATGGAACTAAAGGCACCTAGGGTTTCGGGCGAATGGCTGCCGTATATGTTCGTTTATTGTGCGAAGGAGGAGGGTGAAGAGGCTCGAAATAAAAGTAAAATTAATTGCGTTCGTGTACTTTAAGAGCGGCATGTAATATTATTTCTGGGGAAGGTCGGGCTACTCGAGCGAGAACTATAAAGAAAACGACCGGCAATGCTTACGCCTCTTCAGCGGAATCGGCTCAACCGCCAGGCACTTTCGCCCCGCGGAGTCGGTCACGCGGCTCGAAATCTATCTTCTGGCTAATTTACCCACCGGGAGAGATACCAAAATTCACCAGCAAACCGGTCCAGGTCTTGTTCGAGCACGACAGGCAGAAACCGAGGCGCTACCGCTTTTACTTTGAGACCTGCGTGCACAGCTTCGAGGTCATCCTAATAATCGCCTACATGGTGCCGCCGTCTTTGTCCAAACTGGACTATGGAACGCGTACTGAGCATGCGCCGTAGCTCTTTTCCGCGGAGCATCAGACGCCGAGCGTGTGCGTCCACAGATCTGTGATTAGGCACTTTCCGCTTGACAAACGCTGCAGAGGTGTCTACAGGCACGGGCACTTTAAAAAATGCGAGACGAGGCGAGCCTCTTATTATCACTTATCAAGCAAGGTGGCTGCGGCAAATTAACCAATAATGACGCCGAGGAACGAATGCCAAAGCAAGAACGTAATAAGCCACGCCGTCTGAAGTTGTCCGCGACGACCCCGTCGTCTGCAGTTAAAAAAGAGAAAAGCAAATTCGACGCGAAGCAAACAGAGAGCAGGGACAGACATGTAACCCATGCTTGTCGAACACATCAACTTACTAAATAGCCATGAGCTATCATGGCTGTTTATACTCGAACGCAACGTCGGCGTGCGTCCACGCGCTCTTGTACTTGGCTGCGCCGATCGACGTTCAGGTTCCAAATTTACGGCATATTCGGCTGGTCGTTTTCCAGCGCTCAAATCCTCTGAATCAGATCTGCGAAATCCGGGAGCACCTCCAAATCCAAGCTATTATTACCTTTAAATGCTTAGACCAGACATATATGCTCAGACCAAAAAACGAAGTCTGAGTTGTGACACTAAGCAATGAAAGCGTGACGTTTTTGCATTGCTTAATGTCACAACTCAGACTGCGTTTTTTGGTCCAAAGACTCTAAACATATGCTTCGGCATCGTCATTCACTGAGCTGCCTCCGCACGCTACGGTGATTGGCTCTCCGAGTGTTGTGCGGGAAAGTAGATGCACGGGCATTTTTTTAGAGTGAACAGCGTATGCAAAACTTGCGCGTACGCAAAAAAAAGAAAATAACAAAAATTAGTGCGCCGTCATTGTTGCGCATGAGCCGAGCCCAAACTGCGTTTTGGATTGGCTGATAGAGATGACATATTACGCTATTCTAAAACTCGCTACTCTTAAGCTGTCTGGAGCAGTTTCTTACGCGGGAAGTAGCAACCACTGTGTTAAAATAAATTAAGTGGGTTGAACTGGTTATCTAAAGAAAATCAGGCAATCACTCGTAAGACTACCGGAGCGAGTACGGTATACAATTTCTTAGACTTCATAAGTAAACCGACCAACCGAATGTTTACCTCGCAAAAAAGATTGAGAACCGTACACATGTAGGTGTGATATTATGAACAAACAAATCGCCTAACGTTGACTTACCATTATTTCTAGCATAAAATAAAACGCAAGTTAACCGTTCCTTGCCTATCTCCTCCACGAGTTCCCTCGCATAATCTACAGAAACCGTTTTCGATCTATTATGAGTACAAAGGACGATGCTCGCAGGAAACACTGTCTCCTTAAGCTGACTGTTCTTGACACCTTCCGATCCAAAATGCGCGATATAAATATACGTGCTTATTATTGTGAACGTCCCGCCACTATTAGTAAGCAAGCCTCAGTTGCCATAATGAGTTGACCTTTGAACCCTTATATTTTTTTAGTCTTCTCATAATCAATGTGGCTCAGTGCTAACGCTGATTCCTCTGCCTCATCCTTACACGCATTCGGAACGCCGACGGTGAAAATAGCCATATCGTGCTACAAAGCTAACAGCAGGGGTTGTGCAGATTATGATGTAACGCACTTAGGTAGTAGACTTAAGTATCGGACTACACCTTAAAAAGTAAGGCAAGAGAGCGCGGTGAAACGTAAAGAAAAGCACGAATACAACGCATCTGCCAAGGCGCAGAGGGGAGAGCGGAGTAACAAGTTGAAGTAACCTAATGGCGGCCGCGTCACGTGATTCCAGGATGGCAGCGCCCATGCGACGGAGGATGAAAACCTCTAAATGATCGCGGGGCGTGGTGAGCGCCGAGGATCTTAACACTGCTCCAAAGTCAACGAGATTTCGGCATTGGCCGTCAAGAATATCGCAACACGAAGCAAGAAGCATGCAAGCAGCGTCAACATAATAAACCATGCCCTTCGTTTCTTAAAGGACCCATGAAACGAATTTTGGGCTGGAGTAAATCAATTTATATTGGGATTTTACTAATAGCACATCGTTCAGTGGGCCAAAAGAACAAAGGTAGAAAGTCAGAAGCCTGACTTTCGCTACAAACATTTGCAAAACATAGCGGACTATTTCGTACCTCCTTCCCTTCGTAAACTCTCCGCCTTTTCACTGTGATACATCCGCGGACCCCGCAGCGCGTCACCAGGCTACTAGCCACCATAACCGGGCCCCCGCAGCGCGTCACCAGGGCCCAAGCGCACGTCACTCGACACCGGACCTCACTTAATCCCTTTACCCCTAAGCTGACATTGCGGTGGAAGCTACGCGCTTGCCGGACCAATCAGCCGCCTCCCTTTCATCACCTGACCTCATTCTCTGCGGGTCGGTATGCGCGAGAGGGCGTGATCACGTGGAAAATGTGTGGCTGGCCCAACGAGCACGTAGCTTCCACAGCACTGTCAGCTTCGGGGTGAACGGGGTGGGGAAAGCAACTATAGTCGGATGCAACCTAAGAACAATCTTTTGGCTCCACACACAAGCGCATTGCGCCCATCTGAAGTGCCTCCGCCGTCGAGAAAGTAGTTCGCTAGCAACGTTGCGTTTTCTTCCTCCAGGAAACTTGTCTTAAACTACTACAATATTTATTTGATTCATTCAGGACATTTAAATAAGTTAGAATACGTTTTTGTCAACGAAATAGCTGTTTAGTAAAGAAAGAAAGAAAGTCATGTCCAATGTACCGTCTTCACTATTCATTTTCTGTCCAAGATACTGTCTAACATACCGTCTAACATACCTCTCAGCAGTGCTAAGCCTCGCGCCCGCTTCGAAATTTTCGTTGGCGATAGCGTCGCTGGATTCTCACGTTGTCGCGCAAAAACTGCTGCAAACGCAAGCCGATACCATCAAGATTTCGTGGCGTAACCTCGGGCACGTAAAACACGGTGCAAAAAAGCAGAATAATTGTCACGAGAAACTATAGCATCGCGTTGCTAAGGCCAGCAGCCATGTTGAGCTTTTTTTTTTTTTCAAAAGGATCGCGATTGGTCCACAGAATCGTGACGTCATGAAAATAATTGGCTGGCGTTTCTCGGCGTAGGATTACATTTTCCTCTGAGAGGCATTTCCGGTTTTTTCTTAGCTTGCAACCGACTATAGTCGGAATTTTGAGCGACGGGCTAATCTTCTAGGGGGACAATGGCTGTGTCCGGGCTACACAAGCGAGATTCCGAGCAAGAGGGGACTCCCTTCTTTCCGACTTTTTGAACTGTCTGGTACAATGCGCGATTTATGAGTTGAGGAGGAAAGCTAAACATAAAAAAGTTGAAAAAGCGTTTCATGACTCCTTTAGGCTGTCAGTGATTATAGATCGATAGCGAGTCCATTCCAACGTAGCCTCGAGAATATTCCTCCAGGTTCATTGAAAGCCGATCCAAAAGCAAAAGAGCTATTGTAACACAAACTGGAGACGAGCGGACGACAAGGGGACAAACACACACGTCTGTCAGAGGTTTCTTTTAAACGCGAATATTTTAAACGCAGCTCATTTAAGTTCATTTATTAAGCATGTATCGGGACATCTAGTTTTGAACTATACCAAAGGTTAAATATAAACATTTTGGACCGACATCCCTCTGGTTAGGAATGATTCAAAACTTACATATGGAACATTAACCACGCTTTAGAGTTCCAAGTTTACCAAAGGTTCGTTTTATCTTGGCTAAATCCAGTTCCAGAAAGGCACACCGGAAATGAGCCGCGACGAGCATCCTTCGAAGAAGCCAGCCAGAAGTTGGCATGCGTTTGGCGTTAGAAGGGGCCTGGTCAATGCCAAGGCTACCGGTATTAGGGACCATTAGGTACCACGGCACCACTGAGAGGACAACGCTCTGACCAAACGACGTTTCCCGATGTCAAGAAGGCGCACCCTTGATTGACGACCGAAAAGCAAAACCGCCTGCGTCGGCGGACCTTCAGAGTGGCTTCTGTCGGTCACTAGGTAACCTCAAGGCTCAACGGCACTCAACAAAGCGCACTGTGTCCACTGCCGGTGCCGTTTGGGGAAGAGAGGGAAGTGGACTGAGATGCCGCGTCCGGCTAATCTGTCAAGCACCTCCGGCGTTTCCTCTCAAGGGTTCCGCGGGAAGCTCCGCCAGACGGGTGCCCCTTCAGTATGCGGACTATTATTACCTCGTTCACCCCTTAGCTGACAGTATGGGGGGAGCTACGTGCTCGCCGGACCAATCAAACACCTTTTCGTTCCTTAACTAGGCTCCCTGAGCATGGGTATGAGGAAGAGCGTGATCCCGCGGCAAAGGATATGTGGCCCGTCCAACAAGCACGTTGCTTCTACAGCACTGTCGGCTGAGGGGTGAACGGAACAGCGACGAAACAATACTTATATCCTGGTGTGTGTGTGTGTGTGTGTGCGTTCGTTTGTGGTTTGGGGTGGGGGGATCTTCTGAATAATTCGTGAATGATCCCAAATCTCTCCCATGACGCATGCCCGGCCTCTAATTTGGCAATCACTATCACCTGGCAGCTCTTTGTTGTTGTTGGTGGTTTTCTCATTTTTTTTCATAAAATCATTTTTATGTGTTTCGTTTCTAAAGTTCTACAAGAGTCCTTCAATAGACCGGTCCTACGCCGAGCTTCGTGAGGAACGAGTGCGAGCACGTCCCTTCAGACTGTAACTCTCCTGCAGTAGTGTTTGTGCAAACTGAGCATTATGCACAGCTAAGCTTGAAACGTCTGTTTAAAGTTGATAATGCATCACACAACTTGTGAGATACAGCATAAGGCAAGCGCTATCCATTCAACGCTAAGCCGACAGAGCGGTGGAAGCTACACCTTTATTGTGGCACAAGTTAGATGTCGATTCAGCACCTCGCGATGGGGTCCTCTGAGCATACTCACGCGTAGAGAGTGGGATCAGGCTAGAAAAGAAAACCTATCGATTGGTTCGTCGCCCCCGCAGCTTCCACCGCTCCATCAATTTAACGGTGAACGGAGCATGATCACTCTTAAAAATAGACATATTGTACACCCACGCATACTCTCAAGTACTGAAGATTAATCTTTTGTAGGTTCCCAATGCGCAGTATAATAGAACGTAACCGTCAAGGTAACATAAAATAACAAATACCGCCGCATACTTTACACACCTACGAACCCTACTACGGTGCATTAAATTGCACGAAATTGACGTCATAGTTCCCCATTCACGCTTAAGATGACAGTGAAATGTGTGGGCTCCGGGGAAAAGAAGAACAAAGACATGCTTTTCATCTCCAGGGTTTGGTATAAAAGATAGGCGATTAATTGGTCTAACAAGCACGTAGCTTTCACTTGAGGAGATAAAAAGCCTGTCTTCATTCTCCTTTTTTCTCTGAGTTCAAACATTTCACTGTCGTCTTAAGGCTGGTTCACACATTTGCAACTGTAGCGTTCGTATGCAACCGAAACGACAGAAGCGAGTAAAACACCGGAGCAACCGTGTGACTCGTGGATTGCTTCGTGTATAGCTACCCCTTCCATCGTTTGCCGCGCTGCGTACGGCGAATCCTTGCAAGTGTTCGCCGTACGCAAAGTCGCCAGAACATGTCCCGGCGACTGTCGTGGCGGTTGTATCGGTTGCATGCGAACGCAACGGATTAAGCGTGAATGGAGGACCATGACGTCAATTTGGTTACTCGCGCGCACCGACGGCTGCTGGCTTGTGGGAAAATCGTGCGCCAGTTATTACGAATACTGAGATATTTGGTTCCGTATCCCTTTAACTTCGCAGGCCGTTGCAGTCACATTCGGTCGGACTCGTGAACCTGCCTTCGCCTTCGTTTACTGGTCCCCCCCCCCCCCCCCCTTGCGCGTAAGCATGTGCATCGTGCACGTGAACGTAACACTGACAAGCTCGTAAATGCACGGGCTTGACAGCACAAGTAGAGACCTGGCGGTGCCGAGATGCGCTGCTTGAAATCATCTATATTAAAAAAAATGTCGTTTTTATAAGCTCAACATGTTGGAAGCTTGCGCACGTGTCTGCGTTGGGGTCTTTCGCCAGACTAGAAAGCGGTTTGTTCCCAGCTCTCTACTCTGTTTCACCTTACTGTGGCGCGCAGCGGGCCATGTGTCAGGTGAAACGGAGTGTCCCAGTCGATCCAGCGCTGTGAAGAACGTGACGTGACTAAAACCACCGCACGCCGCCTCGCTCCTCCCGAAAGTCACGTGACACTAAAACGTTATTGAGTTGACTCTTATATCTCGTTGCATCGTAACGAGACAGAAAGAGAGAGATAGAGAGAATAAATTAAGGTTGTGGAGAAATTGGTAGCCTTCGTAAGGTGAAACGGAGAATAACTGTGTACGGAAGAAAGTATGCATTACACATTCACATGAAATTCCTATGAGCGCTTTTCACGCGGTGTGGTTCTAATTTCCGCAAAATCGCGCGCGTGATGCTCACGTAGACATCATTGTCATCCCAAAAGCCGCACTGATTGTACGTCGTACAAAAGACACTGTGTTGGTTACAGACACGATGACTGAAGTTTGTATGGACAGGGCCTTCAGACGAGGAAGAAGCACGCCTCAGGCAATATTTGCGGACTGTCTTTTGTATCATGTATAAGCAGTGTGACCGTGGATTAAAGGTACACCCCATGAAAGAGACTAATTTCCGCGTGGCCTGCCGCCAGTGGCAAAATCGAATGTCATGTACATGGAACTGCATTAGGCGATCAGCCGGTCAGTGCTTGTCACTCCCGGTGCAGCGCGCTGCATGCGCGACGCTCGTATACACTGAGGGTCGCAAGCTCATTCGCCGACCACTTCTAGTCATTCGATAAAACTGATATTAAACTTGACCGCGGGGCAGGGGTTATTCCAAACGCCAAAACTGAGCTCTTATCAAATCTCCTCGGAAGGATCGATAAAGTTCAAAGCACCCACCGGCCAGCGTGAAGAAGAGCGGCCTGCCGAGCCATCCGCCGAGACCCGGCGGCGCCCCGCAGGTCCCCGCGTACTGTTGGCCCACCTGGACGTGGTGCTGCGGCTGGTGGTGGTGGACCACGTGACCGGGCCCGTCGTAGGCCCCGGCCAGCACGTGACTGAGGCCCGGATGCAGCGCCGCTTGGTGGTGGAGGCCCACAGGCGTGGGCCTCACGCAGTTCAGACCCCCCGCGAGAAGGGCCTGGGGCCTCGTCGGCGCCGACGGGGGTGGCCGCAGATCCAGGGGACCCGCCGACGGACCTCCGCTCCTTTGTTGCTGAATGCTCCCGGACAATGAGCGTGGAAAAGGTAGGAGACGCGGCAGCTCTAAGCACCTGAGCAATCAGGGTCTCCAGACGCCGCGACGCCGGACTTGGGGCGAGGAACAGGCCGCACGCGCGGGTAGATGAATCAAAATTAGCCGACACGACACCGCGGCACCCTACCTTGAGACGAAAGCCGAGTGAATTGTTGACGGGTTCGAACTAAAGCGCGGCTTCGACGTGTTCGGAACGTTTGATTGTCGTTTGAACGGAAGCAACGCGCACGCTCTTCTACAGTAATGAAGTATATGAATACATTTTATTCATTCATACACTCAGAAAACACCATTGAGAGCGCAAAATAATGTTGTTGATTGCGGGCTTTATGGCGCAAAGCTACTATGGCCATACTGCGCCAAAGCGCAGAATAAAGTATGTACTCCGATACAGCATTGTGGGAGCAGACACGGGCGGGAGGGCTCTCTTTTAGAAGACGACTTCTTTACGTGAGCCTTGGCAGAAACAATTCGTTTTGAGAGCTACGCTGTTACGACTTTGGCTTGGCTGCAAACAACTTCTGAGTTTGAGTACAAACAGTAAGGTTAACAGTTGAAATACAACCGCGAAAGAAATACATATTTTCGTCTATCTTTATTCTGGCCGTGTATTACATCCCGGAGAACTTGGCATTTCAAACTTTATTTCTCGCCAACTGATGTTGCACACTGCGGGACACTGTTAACGCGAACATGCATTCAGCAATTTTTCTTTTTATTTTTCTTGTGCAGTGCAGCATTGCTGGGCTTTTAATTTGACCCCTTTTATGTATGTCCCCCGTGCGAAAACAATGTGTAAAGAAAGAGAAAAAGCGAATGAGAGAGAGAATAAACTGTAACGCAACAGACGCTGGCTTGCTTTTGTTAGCTGCGTCAAACGTTTCCGGCATTGGGCCCCTCTACCCCCCCCCCCCCCCCCCTTTCCGGAAGGCTCCCAATCGTCCTCGCCTCTTCCTACATATACGCATAAAATACACCACCACTATACCACCAATCACTATCACTACTACCACCCCCTACCCCACATGGTACTGCAGAATTCCCTTCCACTATAACTATAGTTCAAAGTTCCTCTTTTTGAACCCCTGTTCAGATGCCTTCATAACTCCGACACACCTTCCTGTGTAATTTTTGAAAAGAGGAAGAGTGCACATGCTCAGGTTTAATCGGCGTTCAAGCAAGCACTCCTCTCGTATATAGGGTATTCAGTAGGAGGTCATATTTGAGGGCACCGTTTAAAACGCATGCTCAGAACGAGCTCACATTAACAGGCTGCTGAGACGGCAATCTTGATGGCGTGGAATGCACGTTCATAATGAACTGTGGAAGCTCGCCGTTAGCACGCGCTCAGTAATGGCGCACACAGCTATAACCGCCAGTGAATACTTTCTATGCGTAGCGCAAGTTCGTCTGCTTCTTTTGCGGGGGTTGGGGTGACGTCAAAACGCCGAGCTCTGATTGGCTATGAAGGAAGGATAGTGGGTAGACCTCAAGGCAGCCTTGCTTCGAGGTCCACCCACTATCCTTCAATCAGAGCCAATCAGAGATCGGCATTCTGATTCATCACAAACCCTGCAAAAGAAGCAGACGAACTTGCTCTCCGCATACCTTTCATTGACGGCATTGCCATTGAAAGTTTTCTGCGAGTATAAGTGTTGTTTTTTTTTATGCTGAAAAAAAGAACAAAAAAAAAAAGGTATTGTTTACTCACCTGTGCGTGTTCGAGATCCGTGCATCGTCCACCTCATGGTGCGAAGATAGGAGGCTGTCGATGGAGAACTTTGAGGTGCAGCGAACGGGCAACAACAGCTTGCTCGAATCGATGACTCCGGGAGACTCGGAACGACGACGTGACGGGGTCCTCGACGGCGAGTCCGGCCAGGGGACGCGCTCGGCCCTTTCCATGCCACTGCGCCACAAACACCAAAAAGAATGAAGCAATGGTGAGGGTGCAGGCTAGCTGGTGTAAATTGAGCATAGTTGTAAACCCGAGACTGGGGATACGGACAAGGGACAAAACACAAAACGACACGTGTCGTTCTGTGTTTTGTCCCTTGTCCGTATCCCCAGTCTCGGGTTTACAACTATGACCAAAAAGAACGCTCATATTGACACCGCCCTCAAATCAAAGCATTTTAAGCTTACGCATCACCAGCAGAGGTTCGTCACACATGGGGTCTGACGCCAGCTGTGATCAAAACCAGACTGACCTCGGGTTGCGTAAGTTCAATCTCATCCGTCGAGTACACTGCTAGAAGAGTTTTAGCAGATCGTTCCGATACCTCCGTAACGATACCTCATAACGATACAGTGCATGCTAAAACGCGTCGGCGGAGTATCGGGCATCGTTATCGGAGTTATTCGGGACGATGCACTTAAAACTTGCTATGCGGAGCTCAAGTTTGTCTGCTTCTTTTGCCGGGGTTGTATTCATATTCATATTCAGAACGACGAACACTATCCTTCCCATCGGAGCCAATCAGAGCTCGGTGTCCTTACGTCACTGTAACCCTCGCACTAGAAGAAGCAGACAAAATGACGCTTCGCTTTATCAAACGAGAAGGTGCGAGGCACAGCTTAGGAGGACATTTCTTTCGCTTTCAATAGTCGCCTTCTGCGCGTTACCATCCTCGTTTCCCTGGCCGTGAAGGCGTTCTGAGCGTACGCAGAAGCTCTCTTCCAAGAAATATGGGACGCCGCGTGAGCGTCCACAGCTCAATGACTCGGCATTTTTCGCCTGGGTGATAAGCGCTGAAAAGGCTCTTCGTTTTACATTAGGTCGGCCAACGCTATGATCTCGCGGAGCCACTTAGGCAGCGTCGGCGATCGAAAACGCAGTGTGTTCCTTTCGCCGGCTAAACCAATCCTGCTCACTGAGAGCGGTGTGATAGTGAGCTTTTTTCCTGACACTATTAGGGATATTTCTACCGCGCTGCACAGAAAGACTTGATGTGAGATGTAGCATCACCTTAAGGGTTATTATTTTACTCGCAACTAAATCAGTGAAGCATTTTCTCAAACGGATGTGGAGCGCAAGTTAGTCTGCTTCTTGAATAGGGGTGGCAATGATGTCAGAGCGCCGAGCACCTATTCGCATTGATTGAAGGATAGTGGGTAGACCTCGAGGCATCTAGCATTGAGCACATACCCGCTATACTTTCGATGAAAGCCAATCAAAGCTCGGCGTTGTTCTGACGTCACAACTCCTACGCAAGAAGCAGACGACTTGCTGTCCGCATACCTCTGAATTAGTCGTATTAGATGTACGCCGTATCAGGTCCGTATGCTGACGCAGCAACGAGCACAATGAGCGTATCGCCACATTGCGCTTAGAGCAAGGCGTTAGACAACTAGGTGGATTATATTGGTCTCGCGTACAGTCTAAAGTACTTACCTTGCGAATGTGTGCCCCTGCATGTCGCGTCTGCTTGCGGTCCCTTCGATACTTTACATAACAACACGATATATATATATATAAATAGATATTCTTTTTTTTAAATTGTTTTTGCAGTTTATTTTTAGTAGAGGTGACCTACACGTTCCACGACACTTAAAAAATAAGTTCCGCAGAGTACGTCATGAATCAAACACAACTATTAACGCGGGTCACAAAAAAAAAAAAGAAGTAACTTTAACGTTTGTGGTTTTTTTTTCTATTTTTGTAAATAAATATTAATATATAAAATACGTTAATTTTTACAACAGGCCTTAAACGAGGGTTATACCAAATGTGCTGTTAAAATAGTTTTTTTTTTTTTTCGGCAAACTGCAATCTTTCTCAAGATATAAAATTATCGCACCAGGTAATCCAGGTTAAACATTGAGTGATGCATAACGAATGCTGCATTTACCTGCTGACGTCTTATTCGCATTTTCAGTTCATTTTTGCTCGCTGTAAATCACCGTAACTGTTAACTTTAAAAGAGAATTCCGACGCACATGCCGTTGTTCAGCAGAATCACACAAGCAAGAAACAATATTATGTTTTTTTTTCTTCTTTTTGCTCTTTTCGAGAGTTAATGGCACTTACCACTAAACCAAAAGAGGGGATTGGCGTGCAAATGGGAAATTCCGTTTTTTTTTTTTTTTTTTAACACTTTTGTTTGAGCGTTTGCAGCAGGTTTTGATTATATTTTTTTACGAACTCGTTTTCATAAGCGTGGTGGCGTTTATTTAACAAATGGCTAAAGCACGCCTAGCGTGCCTTTGATAATTTTTTCTTTCTTTTTTTTTCAGATCGGTAAATATAGTATAATCAGCTCTAACTTCGAGTGCTTTTTGTCCGATCTGGCATTTAATTAAGAACTGCACTGTTTATGAAAACTTCCCGCGTGTCTACTTTTCCGCAGGGCACGTCGATAGACGAAATTCCTCTTAACCTCTGCTTTCGCTTAAAAGTAATGGGATCACTTGTTTCTAGCCGCGTGAGAGGGCGACGCCAGTATGCTGCCTGAGTTCTCCTGAGCAACCGATCCGACAGCCGTGATTGAAACTGCGTGCCAATATACTCATATGAAATAACTGCACTGTGGTGATTAAAATACTCCTAGTTTACGAATTCGAAAAAAAAAAAACGTTTGTATATGGAAAATTGTTTTTTTGAGAAGACGAAGAGGTGTTCTGCGTGAGTCCCTGCAGCTAGAGTGTACTATAGTCGTTTCTAGGACACTCTACTGCAGACATGCGGTCTCGAGGGCTGTAGATCTTACCGGTCTAGAAAATTCAACCCCGAAGCAAAGAGTCGTCAACGACGAAATTTGGGCTCGTCATTAGATGGAGTTCAAGGGCTGTAGGAGGGGCGAGGTCGCAGCGACCCCACCGAGCCGCGATGAGGAGGAGGAACTGCCCACCCATGTGAAAAGAGTGCGCCATTTCAACTCTAGCCCGGCATGGCTATAGTTTGTTGCAGGCTAAGAATTGTGGAACCACCTCCATCCGGAAAGCCCTCCAATCTTTCCACTTTAGTGGAGCGATCGCTGGAGAGGAGGCGAGTGGAAAGGAGGAAACCTCCAATCATACAGAGTTTTTGTAGGAGGGGCTTCACCAGAGACCCTCAGTAAGGACGCAATTGCCGTTGCGACCTTGATTGAGTAGGACGTTTAAAATCCCTCCAGCACAAGTGGCGGAAATACACGAGTCCTGGTTCTGCGTGTCGTTAGCTGATGTAAAATTCTTAAGCAAACAGTGTTCCCGTGCTTTGTGAAAATGTGGACGAACGTAAGCTTCGTTCGCAAAAAAAAAAGTGTTGGTATGAATCAAGTAGGCGCGGTATTTGTGTCACTTTGTGCCATGTAGGGGTGGGCAGTTTCAAATACTAGTATTTAAAATACGACTTTTTTGTATTTTGTGTTTCGTATTTAATTACTTATTCGTGATTGAATTTGTCAACTGTATTTAAATACTTAAAATTTAGGATTTAGAACGCATCGATTTCAAATACAGCCCCAAATACGCTTTTGGGCGCTGCTCTTCGCAATCAAATGTGATGGTAATTATTCTTCGCGAAAAGAGTCCTGTCATATGCAAAGCGCATGAAACTTGCTGCGCTTTGCGCGGAATTAACATTGAAAAATAGAGGAAGAGAAGAACAAGGAATGCTATCAGTACTGTTATTGCTTTTTTGGTTCTGCGATTTACTTTTTCAAGCACGTCGAATTAACGACATCATGCTTAAAAAGGCTTTTATGCATTAACTCAGTCTTTTCAATTAATCTTACACTAAATATATTGTTTTTCCTCACGCTATATCTGCCTTGAAGTTATGACAAACAAATTTTATGGTAAAATCTGCAAATTGATTTCCTAAGTCGATTCATAGTAGATATATACTCCACTTTTCATTTCGGTATGGTCTTTTTACCTGACTTAAATTTAAGTTGAAGATGTCACTTTGAAAACAAAACGTATTTGAAAAAGTATTTGAAGATTATGAAATACGCTGGTTGTATTTGTATCTGAATACTTTTCTTAAAAGTGTAATTTAATTCGTGATGAAGAACATTGTTGCAATATTATTCTGTATGTGCATCTAAATACATTTTTTATGTATTTTGCCCATCCCAGAATATGATCATGTATTTATCGCAGATATATATAATTGAAATATCAGTCAGTTTCTAGGGTGTCATTATAGGAAGCGAAAACCTATACCGAAGAAATCTGAATTAAATTGAGGTAAGAAGTCATTTGTTTAGGATTTATATCTCAATTTTATCGTTTTTAATGATTAAATTAATTGAAACATTTTAGTTTTCAGACAAATTTTTTACGAAGAGAAAAAAAATCAGCTACTCCAAATAACGTAGGTTAAGGTGCAGCAAATGAAGAAACAATTGGTACAAGTGTCTAGCTTCCGAAAAATTAAGGCTTTGAGTAAGTTGGAAACCTCTCGGGTAGAAACATTTCAATTGCAGTAACCGCGTCGATACTGGTCAATTTTCATCCATGGTCGGTAAGAGGTTCCAGCAGTTGCGCTCATCGCCTCCCGACGGACTCCACGACTACGCGCGACCAAGCGTTACCAAAAGCAGAGCTCGCGATAGAAGCGGAGCATTTACTGCATCCTCTCAGCGACTATATAGTCACGTCATAAAAAAAACAAAAAAAAAACGCCAGTGGAAGACCGGGTTTTGAAATCGAGCTAACCTTATCTCTAATACACACAGGTCCTATAAATGATGCGATTAATGTGTTCGCCTACGTAACGTACGCTAAAATTCTCTATAATGTCAAAGCATAGAAATTCCAGAGTTGCACGTGGATTCCTTAGTGCCTCCAGATGAGGGCGATCCACCCTCGGCCGTGTCATGGTATACGAGTCGGGTCGTAATCGGTCGACTTCAATAAACAAAATAATTTCACTCGCAAGAACGCCCCTTGGTTCCAGAAGGAGCATTGCACCCCTTTTGTTCGTGCTCGAACGCAGTCACGGTTCCCAATTCTTGCGCCGCAGTCAGTCACGCGGCTCAATAAATCGTTCAAGAAACACGATCACACAGACATGACGAAAGAATTATCTTCGGGCAGGCCTCATGTACGTCCCAATCATGTATTTGTTTTGTACATGCCTGGGACATGTCTGAAAACAGTTTTTGCATGACTAATGTTACCGTCATACAAAAAGAAAAAAAAAACCGGAAACGCGCATTACGCAGTGTGTGCAGCCTTTCTTTTGTATGGTGCACTAGCAGTGTGAGCGCGACGCTCGGGAGTCACGGCCGGCTCATTATACTCTATATATCATCCCGTGATATCGTTTTCTTTTTTTTTCCAATTAAAGTTATATCTGCTGAACTCAAATTTAGAAATTCACCACCTCATTTCGGACCGGAACAGACTCTACTAGGCGCCTTCATCGGTAGCCACAAATTCTTTGACAAAAAAATAAACAGCAACTAATAATTTCATTGCATTGTCGCTGCCTTTTTTCAACTTCTCCCACGTACTTTTTACGCTCAATTTATTTTTCCATTCATCACCAACCTGCCCAAGTTAATCTTCTACTTACATTTTTTTTTTTTTTGCTTCAAAAATTTTGCAGTTTGGACGGAGTCTGTGTTGTCGATTACGTTGATACCATAACAATGTGTCGCGTTCTGTGGTGTACTGGTACTCTTCTTTCGATATACTACCTCTGTATAATACGATTGCCTAATGTAAATAGTCTACGTGTGTCTCGCGTTAACCCCCCCCCCCTCCTTTTTTTTTTTTTTTTTTGCTTAGTTTTTTTGCATAATTTCCCGAGTCTGAAGGCTACATCGAGGAATAATTAAGGAACACCAAACTTTACCATCTAAGTTGTTCATCTGGACGAGTTAGTATAACAAAAATTCTTTAGCAAAAAAAACAAAAAACAAAAAAAAAAAAACGCGGCAGAATTTGGCGATTGTTTGGTCGCGCTGAACTGCGTCACGCACTGTGCATGTAATGAAAACAGTAGACTTAACTCCTAGGGCTTCAAAAAGTCTCCTTACACGAATCAGCCTGTGGTGGGGCTCTCGATTATTGATCGATATGGCGGCATTGTCTTAGAAATCTTAAACGCACCGTGTACACTTTGCCTGAATTACGGCGAGCATTTGTAGATAGGTTCAAACTGAAACCTAACCAGACAGAAACATCAGAATGGACGCTATTCACCGAGAAAGTGAGGAAGAAGAGGAGACGAGACGTGTTGACCTAAAACTAGCTGCTTTTGTCTCCACCGCACTCGTCGAAAGCGTTCGAATGCGGGAGCCAGGCGCCGGACGCCGTCGCTCTAATTTGTTTGGCGAGTGCAGTAGAGGTCAGCCTTTAGGTCTACCCCCTAATCATTGCGTTCGGTCTTCTGACGTGTCCTCATCCTCTAGCTCAGTTTCTCGGCGCATAGTCACCGACAAGCTGAAAACGGCATGGAGGAGCTTGAGTTGCCCCGCTTCCAGCGCGGGCTTTCTCCTTCGCCAACAGTTGGGCGTCTCGTACCCCTCGAGAGCGCGTCGCCAAAATACGGCGGAAGGCATGGAACGCATGCCGGAGCCCGGGCGTTCCAAAGACACCACATGCCGTCCTCACTATGTCGGTGACTAGAAAAGTGTCGATGCGGAAATTATTTGGAAATCGCCGCTCTATACATTAACTTTGAAGGCGCGCAGTAGTATTAACTGGCAGTAAAACTGACACTCTAAAAATATATATATATAAGTCGCGAAATTGCCTTCTTGTCTCTTCCGGCAAGCAGAACTTCTTAAGCTGAAACTCTTTCTGCCGACATGTTTCGACCTTACGACTGTCTATAGCAGGGGTTGCCAAGCTGCGGCTCTTCGCGTGTTAAAGTGCGGCTCGTGGCTCCCTCCACCCCCCCCCCCCCCCCCCACCCACTCCCCCGCCTCCCTCCCGGTCACAGGAGCACCTCCC